TTAATGATGAGCTTGGGGAAAGTGATCACAAATCACTCAGTTTTAATAGATCATGGAATTCCCCTAATAATGGCAATCAAGTCTCCGTCCCTGACTTTCGCTTGGCTGATTTCATAGGACTGAAAAATTACTTAAGTGGGCTGAACTGGAATGACGTGACTAAGGGTCAGGTAGGTGGTGATGGTTGCCGATATGATGCTTTCCAGGGCATAGTTCTAGCTGCTCAGTCAAATTATGTTCCAAATAGGGAAATCAGATCAAACAAAATGATCCCAAATGGATGAACAATAGATTAAAATATCTGATTGGTCAAAAGAGAGGCATATATAGGCAAATCAAAAGAGGAGAGGGGCAATTAAGAAATCGATATATTCAGTTAAAGAGAGAAATAAAAAAGGGAATTAGAAAAGCAAAAAGAGATTATGAGGTTAAAGTTGCAAGAGAATCGAAGACTAACCCAAAAGGATTCTTTCAGGTATACAGAAGTAAGATCAGGGACAAGATAGGCCCACTCAAAAGTTCCTCGGGTCAGCTCACTGACAGTGATAAGGAAATGTGTAGAATTTTTAACACATACTTCCTCTCAGTTTTTACACAGGAGGATACCAGCGATATTCCAGTAATGATAAATTATGTAGAACAGGACGATAATAAACTGTGCACGATTAGGGTCACAAGTAAACATGGTCCTTAGGCAAATAGATAAATTAAAACCTAACAAATCCCCAGGCCCTGATGAACTGTATGCAAGGGTTCTAAAGGAATGTAAAGAGGAGCTTAGCACACCTTTGGCTAATCTTTTCAACATATCACTACAAACTGGCATGGTGCCAGATAAGTGGAAAATGGCAAATGTGATACCTATTTTCAAAACAGGTGACAGGTCCTTAGCTTCGAACTATAGACCAATAAGCCTAACCTCCATAGTGGGAAAATTTATGGAATCAATAATTGCCGAGGCAGTTCGTAGCCACCTTGAAAAGCATAAATTAATCAACGAATCTCAGCATGTTAGGTAAGACACATATGCAACAGTTAGGTATCTTTATTGTGAAACGTTTCGCCTACACAGTAGGCTTCTTCAGTCAAGTACAGAAAAGTTGATAGAAGCAGAAGATACTTGAAGACGATGTAATCAGTCCATCACCCTTAAAGTTTTGAGGTGGTCAGTCCCTCAGTCTGGAGAAGAGCATTGTTCCATAGTATGAAACAATATGGAGAAGAAGTGACAGGATGGAGCTTTTATAGCGCCAAGAGGTGAGACGTAGGAGAGGTAAGAACTCAGATGTTGAGAGGTCCCTCTCAAATCCAGCCCCTCTCACTAGTGGAAGTTGTCGAAGTTGATTGCAGGTCTGTACCAAGATACCCTTGTGTTGCAGTGTCTGACAGATTGAACATTAAAATGGTATAAAATACCGACAGGTTGTTAGGTAAGACACATATGCAACAGTTAGGTATCTTTATTGTGAAACGTTTCGCCTACACAGTAGGCTTCTTCAGTCAAGTACAGAAAAGTTGATAGAAGCAGAAGATACTTGAAGACGATGTAATCAGTCCATCACCCTTAAAGTTTTGAGGTGGTCAGTCCCTCAGTCTGGAGAAGAGCATTGTTCCATAGTATGAAACAATATGGAGAAGAAGTGACAGGATGGAGCTTTTATAGCGCCAAGAGGTGAGACGTAGGAGAGGTAAGAACTCAGATGTTGAGAGGTCCCTCTCAAATCCAGCCCCTCTCACTAGTGGAAGTTGTCGAAGTTGATTGCAGGTCTGTACCAAGATACCCTTGTGTTGCAGTGTCTGACAGATTGAACATTAAAATGGTATAAAATACCGACAGGTTGTTTAGGTAAGACACATATGCAACAGTTAGGTATCTTTATTGTGAAACGTTTCGCCTACACAGTAGGCTTCTTCAGTCAAGTACAGAAAAGTTGATAGAAGCAGAAGATACTTGAAGACGATGTAATCAGTCCATCACCCTTAAAGTTTTGAGGTGGTCAGTCCCTCAGTTTCATACTATGGAACAATGCTCTTCTCCAGACTGAGGGACTGACCACCTCAAAACTTTAAGGGTGATGGACTGATTACATCGTCTTCAAGTATCTTCTGCTTCTATCAACTTTTCTGTACTTGACTGAAGAAGCCTACTGTGTAGGCGAAACGTTTCACAATAAAGATACCTAACTGTTGCATATGTGTCTTACCTAACAACCTGTCGGTATTTTATACCATTTTAATGTTCAATCTGTCAGACACTGCAACACAAGGGTATCTTGGTACAGACCTGCAATCAACTTCGACAACTTCCACTAGTGAGAGGGGCTGGATTTGAGAGGGACCTCTCAACATCTGAGTTCTTACCTCTCCTACGTCTCACCTCTTGGCGCTATAAAAGCTCCATCCTGTCACTTCTTCTCCATATTGTTTCATACTATGGAACAATGCTCTTCTCCAGACTGAGGGACTGACCACCTCAAAACTTTAAGGGTGATGGACTGATTACATCGTCTTCAAGTATCTTCTGCTTCTATCAACTTTTCTGTACTTGACTGAAGAAGCCTACTGTGTAGGCGAAACGTTTCACAATAAAGATACCTAACTGTTGCATATGTGTCTTACCTAACAACCCGTCGGTATTTTATACCATTTTAATGTTCAATCTGTCAGACACTGCAACACAAGGGTATCTTGGTACAGACCTGCAATCAACTTCGACAACTTCCACTAGTGAGAGGGGCTGGATTTGAGAGGGACCTCTCAACATCTGAGTTCTTACCTCTCCTACGTCTCACCTCTTGGCGCTATAAAAGCTCCATCCTGTCACTTCTTCTCCATATTGTTTCATACTATGGAACAATGCTCTTCTCCAGACTGAGGGACTGACCACCTCAAAACTTTAAGGGTGATGGACTGATTACATCGTCTTCAAGTATCTTTTGCTTCTATCAACTTTTCTGTACTTGACTGAAGAAGCCTACTGTGTAGGCGAAACGTTTCACAATAAAGATACCTAACTGTTGCATATGTGTCTTACCTAACAACCTGTCGGTATTTTATACCATTTTAATGTTCAATCTGTCAGACACTGCAACACAAGGGTATCTTGGTACAGACCTGCAATCAACTTCGACAACTTCCACTAGTGAGAGGGGCTGGATTTGAGAGGGACCTCTCAACATCTGAGTTCTTACCTCTCCTACGTCTCACCTCTTGGCGCTATAAAAGCTCCATCCTGTCACTTCTTCTCCATATTGTTTCATACTATGGAACAATGCTCTTCTCCAGACTGAGGGACTGACCACCTCAAAACTTTAAGGGTGATGGACTGATTACATCGTCTTCAAGTATCTTCTGCTTCTATCAACTTTTCTGTACTTGACTGAAGAAGCCTACTGTGTAGGCGAAACGTTTCACAATAAAGATACCTAACTGTTGCATATGTGTCTTACCTAATAACCTGTCGGTATTTTATACCATTTTAATGTCGAATCTCAGCATGGTTTTACAAAGGGGCGTTCCTGCCTTACGAATTTATTAACTTTTTTCACTAAGGTATTTGAGGAGGTAGATCATGGTAATGAATATGATATTGTGTATATGGACTTCAGTAAGGCTTTTGACAGGGTCCCACATCAGAGACTATTGAGGAAAATTAAAGCACATGGAATAGGAGGAGAAATTTTTTCCTGGATAGAGGCATGGTTGACAAATAGGCAGCAGAGAGTTTGCATAAATGGGGAGAAATCAGAGTGGGGAAGCGTTACGAGCGGTGTTCCACAGGGGTCAGTGTTGGGCCCCTGCTGTTCACAATATACATAAACGACATAGATGAGGGCATAAAGAGCGACATCGCAAGTTTGCCGATGACACCAAAATAGGCCGTCGAATTCATTCTGACGAGGACATTCGAGCACTCCAGGAAGATTTGAATAGACTGATGCAGTGGTCGGAGAAGTGGCAGATGCAGTTTAATATAGACAAATGCAAAGTTCTAAATGTTGGACAGGACAATAACCATGCCACATATAAACTAAATAATGTAGATCTTAATATTACGGATTGCGAAAAAGATTTAGGAGTTCTGGTTAGCAGTAATCTGAAACCAAGACAACAGTGCATAAGTGTTCGCAATAAAGCTAATAGAATCCTTGGCTTCATATCAAGAAGCATGAATAATAGGAGTCCTCAGGTTGTTCTTCAACTCTATACATCCTTGGTTAGGCCTCATTTAGATTATGCTGCACAGTTTTGGTCACCGTATTACAGGATGGATATAAATTCTCTGGAAAATGTACAAAGGAGGATGACAAAGTTGATCCCATGTATCAGAAACCTTCCCTATGAGGATAGACTAAGGGCCCTGAATCTGCACTCTCTAGAAAGACGTAGAATTAGGGGGGATATGATTGAGGTGTATAAATGGAAGACAGGAATAAATAAATGGGATGTAAATAGTGTGCTGAAAATATCTAGCCTAGACAGGACTCGCAGCAATGGTTTTAAGTTGGAAAAATTCAGATTCAGGAAGTATATAGGAAAGTACTGGTTTGGTAATAGAGTTGTGGATGAGTGGAACAAACTCCCGAGTACAGTTATAGAGGCCAGAACGTTGTGTAGCTTTAAAAATAGGTTGGATAAATACATGAGTGGATGTGGGTGGGTGTGAGTTGGACCTGATAGCTTGTGCTACCAGGTCGGTTGCCGTGTTCCTCCCTTAAGTCAATGTGACCTGACCTGACTAGGTTGGGTGCATTGGCTTAAGCCGGTAGGAGACTTGGACCTGCCTCGCATGGGCCAGTAGGCCTTCTGCAGTGTTCCTTCGTTCTTATGTTCTTATGTTCTTAAGATATCCAGTGGTCTTGAAGACAGCCAGGAGTCTTGAAGACAGTCAGGGGACTATTGGAAATCCCCCTTATGTATGCTAGGAGGCAGTTGATAAAATAAAAAAAAGTAATGAAATACGTCCACCTGAGCTGGGAGATTTCACCAGAGCTATGAAGATGTGGTCCAGTATGTTACTATGGGTTCAGTAGCTAAGACAGGTTATTAAAGTTACTGTTGCATGGGAACTACCATGCTGGGCGGTATATAACTCAGATTTAGTTAGAAGAATGAGGATATAATGCAAAAGTTAATATCTGAACACATTTTTTTTACCACATTAGGCATTTCCCAAGACAGGGTAACCCAGAGAAGGAAACATTCACCATTATTTAATCAACAGCTTATTTGCTATAAATTCAGGGTTTGACTATTGCGCTGTCCTAGGTTAACTTCTTCGTAAGTTACTATACAAGACATTTGCAAGAATTTAAACTGGTACACTGGACCTGAATAAAAACTTCCTGACGTCACACTATTATTATTATTATTATTATTATTATTATTATTATTATTATTATTATTATTATTATTATTATTATTATTATTGTTATCAATGCCCTTGTTACTGGCAACACTTTTCTTTTACAAATAGATACGCATTATATAATTACTAATTTTGCCTGAATTTTATTACAAATGACAATTTTTCATTAAAATTCAATTTTCTTTTAAAATGTCAATTTTATTTCCATTTTCAGTTAAAATATTTAAAATTTTTTGAGGAATAAGTAGAATATTTTAGTGAACACTAGTTTGTAATCTGTATTTATTGTTGAGAGAGGAGTATGGAGTGTAGGCAGTGTTGCCACATCAGCCGCATGGTGGCTGCTCTGTCAAATTATGATAATAATAAAAGAAGCCTCATTAAAGATAGCTACTTTATATGTATTTTAGCTCTTATGACATTGTATTATGCTCTACTAGGGTAACACTGCAAGAAACTGATCCTAAAAATACTAACAATTAATATTGCGTCTTATCTTAGTCGACATTAGTATTCATAGTTTTGTACGTTACATTTACTTTACGGGGCACATTAATTATGGAATACTATAACCCTTTTAAAGCTTAATATTTCATGAAAAACGCTAATTATAAAATACATAGCTAAATGAATGGAAATTAAATTTATACAATTAAATTGTATAGTGTAATGTACCAGATTACGATAATAAGGACCCCAATGGAAATAAGTCACTTTGTCTGACTTTTCTGGGTTATCCTAGGTTCTCTACACATCTGCTGTTATGTATTTATGATAAATAATCTGTGTAACTGTATTTGTGTGTACCTGAATAAGCTTACTTACATACTAATACTATAAAAATTTAAATTTTAACAAAATGCGCATTTTCATTTTAAAGCTTGCCATCATTAAACGCGTTATGGAATGTAGTGCAATTTTAATATATTAAATTTCCAAAGAGAGAGTAGTTTTTTGTGGTATATTTGTAGGTGGGTTGTTAGACCCACATCAGCAGCATCAGCAGCAGCAGCAGCGGCAGGACCGTGGGTCGCTGACTGACCCAGGCTACACCACCATCATGGTCACCATGCAGCCTCTCACAATAAATATTAAGGATGATGACAATCAGAATTCGGTGAGATTACTACAACTTGTTGCTTGGTATAGCGAAATCGCAAAATATAATAATAAAGTCAGCCAGGGTTATTATTTTGTCGTTATTAAAATTTGGAGACGTGAAACCTAACATTCAATTAATATTTCTTTTCATGTACAACAGTAATTCGAGTAAATATATAATTATGTAATTTGTATTTAAAGAAAATTACAAGTTGCTTATGTTTATTATAGATAAACCAAAGTGATGGTTTATAAATTTAGGATATTTCGACGATTTTTCGATGATTTTCCTCGATGAAGGATCATCATTTTCTGTAAATCCTCATATACTTGTACTGTATCTCTGTTAACATGTTATAACACTCAGAATAACCCAGTAATGTCAGTGTTGTCCACTCAGAATAACCCAGTAAAGTCAGTGTTGTCCACTCAGAATAACCCAGTAATGTCAGTGTTGTCCACTCAGAATAACCCAGTAACGTCAGTGTTGTCCACTCAGAATAACCCAGTAACGTCAGTGTTGTCCACTCAGAATAACCCAGTAATGTCAGTGTTGTCCACTCAGAATAACCCAGTAACATCAGTGTTGTCCACTCAGAATAACCCAGTAATGTCAGTGTTATCCACTCAGAATAACTCAAGAAAGTCAGTGCATCATTAAGGACTGTCTGTTTTAGTTCCATTGTGGTCCTTCAATCTTGTCCCCCAGGATGCCACCCACACCTGTCCACTAATACCCAGGTACCTATTGCTAGGTGAACAGGGACAGTAGGTGTAAGGTAACTAACACCCAGCTCGCTCAGATATGAGTGGAAAATTTTGACGTAGATAAGAGAATGGGTCTATGTGGTGAGTGTGCACAGTACAAAAAAAAAAAAATCCTGCCTCATGCAGTGCATGATGGGAAGAACAAAACAGCAATTTTGAAGTGCTTTCTAGGATGCTTTTATTTTATGGTTGTATTGGCAGTTTCTTGATAGAATGGAAGACATAATACTGGTACAGAGATGATTTTGGTTGATTCCAGGACTGGAAGTAGCTTGAAATTGGCCTCAAAATAGCAGAAATATTTGATTTTTGCTAATTTTCCTAAGGACAGGTAAGGACCACCTACATCCCCGGAATAATTGGTCATGATTTATGGCATCTCCATATTTAAATCAAACCTGGTACAGTAATAATCCATAAAATAAGACTGAGGGTGTATGGGGAGGTCTTACTGATCCTCAGGAAAATCACCAAAAATTGATTTATTTCTGCTACTTTGAGGCCGAATTTAAACTACTACTACTGGTCCTGAAACCAACTAAGATCATCCTTATTTCATTAGTTTGTTTTCCATTCTATTATTTTATACCAAGAAACAGCAAAAAAAAAAAATTATAAAAACTTACTGTACAGACTCATTCTTTCATATTTGAGCCGAGCCGAACTCATGACATAGATCTACGTGATGGACCCTGGCCTCAATAATGTTAATCTATGTGATGGACCCTGGAGTCAGTAACATAGATAGATCTACATGACATACCCTGGCATCAATAATGTAGATCTATTGACGGACACTGGTGTCAGTAACCTAGACCTATGTGACAGACTATGAAAGGGTTAATTGTAATTAATTTTGATCCTTTTGTAAAATAAAGAAGTATATATTTTATTGCATTCTTAATTCCATATTGTTAAATATTTTTCAGAACTACTTCAGTGATTACCACAAAAAAAGGAAAGAACACCTCATGAATGGCCCGCCTACAAAACGAGTAAAGTCTGGTCTATCAGAGAGAGAGAAAAATGATGTAAATAGTTTCCATGCTACCAAGACAGTCTTCGCTGATAATGAGGAGAAAGACAGACAAGACAAGGCAGTTGAAAGCAAGAGAGAGATTGTTGTATCTTTATTCACTGGGAATCCAGATATTCCTTATATTCCCAAGACCAATGTGTGTAGAAAATCTGAGAAAGTTTTTTCTGAAGACTCATTCTCCAGCTTAAATATTGCATCACAAATTGTGAGTATGTGTTAGCAGAGGTATTTTATGCTTAGTTAACATCAGTTTGGTGTTCTACCCAGTTTATTCTGTTTATCTCTCTTGGTATTTATGTATGTTGTACTGACGAAACAATAATCCAGATATTAACCCTTTGACTGTTTTGGTTGTATATATACGTCTTACGAGCCACTGTTTTTGATATATATATATACTCATACATTCTAGCGACTTCAAATCAAGCAGAAAGCTGGTAGGCCCACATGTGAGAGAATGGGTCTGTTTGGTCAGTGTGTACCATATAAAAAAAATCCTGCAGCACTCAGTGCATAATGAGAAAAATAAAACTCCGACCATTTTTTAAATTAAAATGCTGAATTTGTGGTCTATTTTCATATAGTATTTATGGTTGTATTCTCATTTTCTTGGTCTCATTTGATAGAATGGAAAACATATTATAGAAGTAGAGGTGATTTTGGTTGGTTTTACTATGAAAAGAACCTAGTAATGGAGCTCAAAGTAAGGAAAATGTTTGATTTTTGCCGATGTTCAAAAGTAAATAAATGGTGTCATTTTCCAATAAATGTCCAAGTAGCCATTCTGATATGCAGTCATGAATGGGTTGACATTATTTATGCAATTATTACAATATTGCAGTAGTCTGCATAACAGTAAATCTTCCATTGTTTGTTTGAATAAAAATTCAAAATAGAAAGCAAGAGTAATATCAAAGGGGCCTGGAGACGTGACTGATGAACAAAGAAAATGTTATTTTAGAGCCAGGAGTGTCTGCATTGTTCATTCTGGGCCCTATTTTGAAATTGTCATATTTTTTAATTTTCGTGAAATTGGCCAAATTGCAAATTTCTGACCACGTTATTGGATAGTTAAAATTGGTAAATGGGCAGTTTCTTGTACTCATTCGATAGAAAAAATGGAGTTCTAAAGAAATAGCTATGAGTTTGGTTGACTGGAACAATGGAATTAGCCGAAAATAGGGCTCAAAGTGGGCAAAGTAGCCGATTCGTAAATATTGCCGAGGTCGCTAACTACGCGAGAGCGTAATTCTGTCAGTTTTCCATCAGATTTCGTTCTTTTGGTGTCATTACAATCGGGGAAAGATTCTCTATCATTTCATAAGATTTTTTTTTTTTTTAAATTTTGCGACACCAGGAGACACCTCAGGATTTGGGGTTGCGACAGTCAAGGGGTTAATTTAAAGAAAGACACTGGTGAAAAGTAAGCTTTTAACATAACTGTTTAGACTCTGTAGAGCTTTATGAAGTCAGTGATAAAATTTCCATGTTGCTGCATAGGCATACTGTCAACAGTATTGAAAGTATTGTCAAGATGTACAAGGAGCAAAACTTTGTCAAAATGAAAACTTTGTGCACTAGGGTCTTTTCTTCAATATTCCCAGTAGTGGCTCTTTATCATTGGCTTCACTTCGAAATAGTGTCACAATAAAGTATGCTCTACACTTGTCTTTTCTTAAATACTGTCAACAGCACATCTCTATCTAAAAGTTTTTTGTATCGTCAGAAATAAGATAATAAGTGTATGTTAAACATGTATATGTTGTGTTTTGAGACCAAGATGTACAGTATCAGATTATTATGTTCTTTGCATTTAAGGTTGCTACACATAAATTACGTATTTATAAAATATTTAGCTAGCAATCACTGTCCTGTCATACATGTGTGGAAAAAGAAGCCTGTTAAATACATGAAAAGGTTGGTGGTCCTCATTTTGTCTCATGAATGCATAGCATGTCAGGTAAATCTTACAAAATATACATGTACTCCAATCAATATAGACCTCTATAAATTCTGGTGTTTTTTAATGATGATTATATTTATTTCTGCAAAATTACATAATATAATTAATACAGGAATAGTTGACATTTTTGGCATACTTTATAGAAAGCCCTGGTTATGCAGAGCATTCTGGGCAGTCTTAAGATGAGCTTTTAACTTGACATTTTTGAGATTAAAAAAAAAAAAACCGTACCACGGGCCGGGTTAGAACCCGCGATCGGAGAGTCTCAAAACTCCAGACTGTCGCATTTTAGATTAAGTTGGTTTACTTGAATGCTATAGTTTACAATCTGATATTAACTCCAACAGTCTAGATTATTTTTATAAGACGGTGTGTTATATTATTTGTAGTGGTTATGACTTGTGGGCATAAACTAGTGGTAGTGAATGCTAATATGAATTAGATAAGAAAGGATGATGTTGATCAGTTGGGTTTTGAAATACGTAATTAGTCAATGCAGAATTTAGGTTAGCTGAAGGAGGTACTTTTTAAAAAACTCTTGAAGCAGGTGGCTTCAATTCCAAATTTTAGGACCCTTCATTCACATGAAGTTCTTGGATAGGTTGAGTCAAACTCTTGGTATGTCAGGAAAATGTACTTGGGTTCTTATTTTGTATGTGTGTGTTTTGCAGTTCTCAAGGAAGTCAGAATGCTGGGTTGAAGTTCGCACAAACTCTTGGTATGTCAGGAAAATGTACTTGGGTTCTTATTTTGTATGTGTGTGTTTTGCAGTTCTCAAGGAAGTCAGAATGCTGGGTTGAAGTTCGCACTAAGTGCAGAATGCACAGTAGTGGGTGTGCATATTTTGTAAGGGATGTGTGTTGTCTGTAACCTAAATGGGTGATTATTCTAATAGCTGATTTCTTCTGGGTCATAATAGGTTGTAGGTTGTTGCTGCTGTTGATCCACAGGCAGCAGATACTAAAAGTGAGGTCTAGATAGATTAGTGAGTAATGTTCCTTGAGGAATGTAGTGCATGACCACAGATTTCAAAATTTTCTTAAATATGTGTTGGATGTGAGCATTGATTTTCAGGTTGCAGTGAAGGGGTATAGCTAAGAATTTTTCTCTCATCTTGTCTTATTATTTAAGAAGTACTTTCAGAGGAATGATTATGTTGTAATTTAATAGTCTGTATACGTATATACAGGCTGGCCCTGCTTTATGGTGCTTAGCTTTACGGCATTTTGCTAATGAAGTGGTTTTCAGTTACTCCCATTATTCATTTATTCAGACTTCCTACAGTAAATATATTCATTACTCACTATAAGCTTGGGATGAAAATATATTGTAGTAAGCACAGTAGTATAAGTTTATATCCTGTATATTAAGTAAGCTCAAGCTTTTGAAGAGTGGGGGAGTGTGTTGTCTGGCACTGGAAAGGGTGATAGTCTGCACAGCTGCTTGTTGTTGGGTTATTAATGGTTTTAGGTGATTTGGTGCAGTAGATTTTCAGGTGCAGATGCCATAGGTGAGATAAGTGGTATAATGTAAGTAGTATTGTTTGAGGTACATAGTAATGTATCTTGGGGTTTATTTGTAAATATTTATTAAACCTAGTATTTTAGCATTTGTAATAATGATGTGTTAACTTGTAAAATTTTTCAGATATCAAATGTGGAAAAACTTGGTTTTAAATCAATGACAGTGGTGCAGCAAAAGAGCATTCCACCCATTCTGGAAGGTAAAGACACACTAGTGAAGTCTCAGACAGGCTCAGGCAAGACACTGACCTATGCACTACCCATCATTCATAACCTCATGATGGTAATTGACTTAGATCTCTTCTCTTGTTATACTGCCCATTTTGTTTATGTGCACCAGCTTCTTATTTAGAGATCTGCTGCAAAGTTACATTTTTTTTTTTCCCAACACATCGGTTGTCTCCCACCAGGGCAGGGTGACCCAAAAAGAGAGAAAATCCCCATTCAATACTTTCACCTCACTCATACATAATCAGTCTTTACAGAGGCGCTCATATACGACAGTTCTGAAGTCCCTCCAAACTGCCAATATCCCAAACCCCTCCTTTAAAGTACAGGCATTGTACTTCCCATTTCCATTTGTTTTTAAATCATGAGAAATTTTAATAGCTTTTTAATAACAAGTAGAGGTGAGGGGTTGATTTTTTTTTCTAATCCAGTATCTGCCACACATTCACCAGTTTGTATTTTTTTGTTAATTGTTTGGGAACAGTGTAACTTTGTACCAAATTTTTTTTATTAGCTATCTGTAGGGTATTTCATGTTTAAAACATTGACTTGGTGGTTGTGAGCCAAGTTGTTTAACCCTTTTACAGTCCATCATTGAGTTCAGGGTCCCTGATAGTTCTACATCATGAGCCCATCTCACTTAGATAACTGTGAGTAGTAAATTTTAGCCTGGATATGAGAGAATGGATCTGTGCAGTTAATATAAAAATACTGCCCCACTTGGTGCATGATAGGAAAACAAGACTATGACAGTGTGTACTACAGTTTAAAGTAGCAAATTTGAGTTTTTTTTTTTTGATGGTTTTTATGGTTTTATTAGCTGTTTCTTTATATCGTTTGGTAAATTGGAAGACGTTCTACTGAAATAGAGATGATTTTGATCAATTTTAGGACTGAAAGTAGCTTAAAATTGAGTTCAAAATAGTGGAAATACTCGATTTTTGCCGATATTCCTCAGGATGGGTAAGGCCCTCTCTACAAATCCCAGTCTGTTTTATGCATTTTTAGTAGGTCTGATTCAGTTATTGGGAAGTTGTAAATCATGACCAGTCTTTCCTGGTTATATTTTTTTATCCGAGAAATAGAGGAAGTCTAATTTTAACAGACCTGTATGTAGGTCACAATAAGACCGCTATCTGACTCTCACTGTTACTTTTACCATTAAACAAATGAACCTGAAGTTTTCTCCTAATTATTAACCCTTTGGAGGGTTTCGGACGTACTAGTACATCTTATGACCCAGGGTTTTTGACGTACTAGTACGCCTAAATTCTAGCGCCCTCAAATCTAGTGAGAGAAAGCTGGTAGGCCTACATATGTAAGAATGGGTCTATGTGGTCAGTGTGCGCAGTATAAAAAAATCCAGCAGCACACAGTGCGTAATGAGAAAAAAAAAAACTTTGACCATGTTTTTGGATTATAACAGCGACTTTGCACTGTATTTTCGTATGGTATTTATTGTTGTATTCTAGTTTTCTTGGTCTCGTTTTATAGAATGAAAGACATATTACAGAAATTGAGATGATTTTGACTGGTTTTACAATGAAAAGTACCTTGAAATTGAGCTCAAAGTAGCAGAAATGTTCGATTTTTACCAAAGTTCAAAAGTAAACAAATCATGCCAAGCGTCCAATACACATCAACTGGTGAGTCTAATATTCTTTCACAAGTGCGCTGATATTATTTATACCATTTCTACACTAATGCAGTAGTCTGCATAACAGTAAATCTTATTTTTTTGTAAGAATAAAAATTCAAAGTGGAAAGCCAAAGAAATATAAGAGGGGCCTGGGGATGTGACTAACGAACAGAGAACTTGTTATTTTAGTGCCAGGAATGTCTTTCTTGTTTATTCTGGACCCTATTCGGAAATTGGCATCTTTTGAAATTTGTGTGAAATTGGCAAAATTGCTAAATTCTGACCACTTTATTGGATAGTTGAAATCAGTAAATGGGTGGTTTCTTGCACTCATTCGATAGAAAAAATGGAGTTCTAGCAAAATAGTTATGATTTTTGTTGACTAGTACACTGGAATTGGCCGAAAATAGGGCTCAAAGTGGGCAAAATCGCTGATGCATGAACATCGTTGAGACCGCTAACTTCGCGAGAGCATAATTCCATAAGTTTTCCATCAAATTTCATACTTTTGGTGTCATTATGATCGGGAAAAGATTCTCTATCTTTTCAAAAGATTTTTTTTTTTTTTTTTTTTTTTTTTTTTTAAATTTGGCCAACCCTGAGAACTAGTCTCTGTGAGGACCTGTCGACCCCCAAAGGGTTAATAAAGGTATATATAAAGGGTATCCAGGGAGGAGAAATATAAAATGTAAACAAGATGCTTAAAAATTATTTTTGGTTTAGGGAAAATATATATCATAGTCCAGTAAGAATTTAATAGCTGTTTCAGGAGCACAGAACACAGCACACTACAGTTGTCTCCCATTAATCAAAGACTTAATTGTAAAGCTTATAATTTGCAGTATTTTGAATGAATAAAATCTAGTACAAGAGTGCTATATAAAAATTTAATTATCCAAAGAAATTTTAGAACAGCATACATTATCAGACTGTTTTAATGCTAGTTTATCATATTTTATTATTGTAAAGCATTATGGATCAATAATTGCAATTCTGTAGAGCAATTCTTTTCTTTCCAATCAGCGAACTCCACGTGTCCAGAGAAGTGATGGTGTTCTCTCTCTAATCATTGTTCCTACAAGAGAATTGGCACTGCAAAGTTATCAGTGGTTTGAAAAATTGTGTAAGGTACAGTTAAAACTCTATATTCTACATTTATATAAGGTACACCTACAACTATTTGTTATTCTACATCTGTTCAAGGTATAGTTAAAACTTATATTCTACAGTACATAATAGTAAGGTACAGTTAGACTATCCATTTATTCTTCACTTAAGTACTGGTAATGTACATTTTACATTTATTCTACAATTAGAATTGTGGGTTGTGAATTTATATACCTGGTGATTAAATCCTTGCATTGTTAATGAGCTGCACAGTACATTCATAAATTTGAAATTTCATAGATCAGCAAAGTCATATTATTCATTTCACTTGCTATACAAGTATTGGAATACTGATATATATCATATCTAAAAATAAACAACTTTCTGGTAGTTAGGTAAGACACATATGCAACAGTTAGGTATCTTTATTTCGAAACGTTTCGCCTACACAGTAGGCTTCTTCAGTCGAGTACAGAAAAGTTGATAGAAGCAGAAGATACTTGAAGACGATGTAATCAGTCCATCACCCTTAAAGTTTTGACCACCTCAAAACTTTAAGGGTGATGGACTGATTACATCGTCTTCAAGTATCTTCTGCTTCTATCAACTTTTCTGTACTCGACTGAAGAAGCCTACTGTGTAGGCGAAACGTTTCGAAATAAAGATACCTAACTGTTGCATATGTGTCTTACCTAACAATCTGTCGGTATTTTATACCATTTTAATGTTCAACTTTCTGGTAGCAAACATCTTTCCTTTACTGTATAGAGAGGCCTACGAAGTATGATAAAAATGTTCATTAAACTCTGGCCTATTAAATAGTACGCATTCGAATACTTTGTGGTTTTCTTGAAAACACTTCATATAATTTTAATGCTGTGTTATATGATAATGGCATTGTTATATTATCTGGCTACATCAGGTATTCATTAAATTATCAGTCTAATCTTGGGTTTACTTATTTTCAACATTTAGGGGTGTGGTAAATAACATCCAGTAAATTAAGGCTCTGCATACCCTTGCCATTGTACTGTACTTCAGTTATTTTTTTAAATCTTGATTTAAAATTGTGTTATAAATAAGGAATTTTATTTCAAAATACCTGTACACGTAGTTATTACAAAATTAGGTGACTTTTATTTCATAAATTTTGAAAACTTCATTTGTACAGGGCATTTCTGGGAAATTAAAAACTCCTTGACATTGTATATTTGTTGTTAGATTATTTGAATGCTAGGTTTAATATAATTAAGCTGTTTGAAAATAAGATTACTAATGTAAAGGTTATTTATAGTAGCAAAATACTGTTCAGTATATTAAAACAACAATGTTGATATCAGAGTTTACCTCCCCACCAGTCTTGTGTATGGGTGGTACCAGGGTACTTGATTGGTGGTGAGAAAAAGAAAGCAGAGAAGGCACGACTGCGTAAGGGGATCAATATCTTGGTTGCCACGCCAGGTCGTTTAATAGACCATCTACATCATACCAAGTCCCTTAGCTTATCAAATGTCAAGTACCTGGTGTTGGATGAAGCTGATAGATTACTGGACATGGGTTATGAGCGAAGTGTCACAAGGTAAGATATACAGTATAGTCTGGAATAACAATATTATGTTCCTAAAAACAGTGGATTGACGATATCAGGAAAAATAGGGTTATACTCTCGATACTTAATGCTTTTTGTGACATATATTGTTGTTAGATGTAGTAAAGTGTACATAATGAAAATACAGAACAAGGTGCATGTTGATGATCATGGAAAGGATTGGTGTGGCCCTCAGGGGTTGGTGAATGGCTGTGGAATTTGGCTGAGGTGGATGGCTGTGATTCTTGGGTTGATGTCAAGGCAGAGTTGTTAATTGGTGGTTGTACTGGACCATTTAGGTTTTCTGTAATGCATCTCTCTTGTGTCTTATCCTGCAGTGCTTTACACAGGTGACAATAAGGCACAATCACCTTCAGAGCCTGTTTCACAGCAGGTCTTCTAGAGGTGTCAGGGTCCTTTTCAGTAGTATAATCTGCAATTTCATCAGTAGCATGCAGTGACTCTTATCTCTTGGAGTGTCATTTGTGTTGGTTCAGGCTCTTCCTCATTTTATTCTGTTATCTGCCTCCATTCTGTCTGGGAATTGAGCTTCTCCAGTATTTCCTCTGCAGTGTGTTCTTCCTATCTTCTAAGGGTTCGTTCATGTTTTCTGCCTGCATACCCTCAAAGCTTCACCTGACATTCTGCCAGATCCACAGTTTCTTGGATCTGACTTGCTTGAAAGAAAATCTTTAAAATTTTCACCACACTAGACAATAATTTCCTCCAGTCTGCATTTATTATTTGTTGGGGAACTTGATCCTATGCATTTTTAATGTTGGCAATTGCATCTGCAGTGTTAAATTTATGCCAGAGCTCTTGCACTCCAATGTTTGCATTGTCATCCACTGATGGTAGGAGTTTCTGCATCACCTTAAATGTCTTAATCCCTCATTGATCCAGTGGAAGTATAAAAGATGCACAGTGGTAAAAATGTAACTCTTACTGTTGGTTCCATAGACTCAGTGTTAAGAATGGTTATGACAGTTATTAAGAGTGAGGTGAACCTTCAATATAAGGTTCTTTCTGACAAGCTAAATCTTGACACAAAGAATAAGTTAAATCTTGATCCAGTCAGTACATAGGACCTCACACATCCTTGCTGTCTTGTTTACTGCCACATAGCTGAGAAAGGAGTTTTGTGTTCCATTTGAAGTATGGGAATTCTGAGAGCAGTAAATAAGCATCGGCTTGCACTTAAAATTGCTTGATACACTAGCATACAAAGGTAAACTGAAATGATCCTTCGCTACCTTGGATCCAGATGCACTTTTCTCTTGCTTGCTGATGAAAGTTCTTGAGAGCATCTTCCATTGTAAATCTGTCTTGTCAACAGTAAACACTTTTGCTCAGGTTTGTACTCGCCTGCAGAAATAATTTTCTCCAACTGTGCAAGGAAATTCCCAGCAGCAGCAGTGTGGTCAACAGATGCACCTTTCTCCACTAAATTTCACATTCTACCACTTTCTTCCTCCCCTCTCGTATTTTGGCTTCCTTCCCTTCTTATTTCAATGTGACTGGTTGATGGTCCAAGTTGGACCAAAACATTGTCATAAGTTTCAGTCTCCTAAGTGAGGGTTACTTATGTATCCCTATCGATCACATGTTATAATGTGTGGCATGCAAAGAGTACGTAACCTTTATTCGGTGCATGTACACACATTGAAAGGCTCTCTCCCCCAACCAGCGAACCAGTACTAGAGTCGAACGATGGGGCCCCGTCATTCAGTCAGTACCCAGGTTCAAGCCAATGAGAAGATGGTTTTGGCAATCGCTGAGGTGTTGTGGGTACCACCCGCCTGTCTGAACGTGCCTTTCCCATTCTAGAGCTGGTTGAAGCATGGTCTGCTCTAGAGTGGCTTCTATCCTGCCTTGCTTACTGTGGAGTGCACTAATACCTAATGTTGTACATAGTGTATGTAGTGTACATACTTCTGTTCTTCTCCATGGGGAAGTGGAACAGAATTCTTCCTCCGTAAGCCATGCATGTTGTAAGAGGCAACTAAAATGCCGGGGGCAAGGGGCTAGTAACCCTTTCTCTTGTATAAATTACTAAATTTAAAAAGAGAAACTTTCGTTTTTCTTTTTGGACCACCCTGCCTTGGTGGGATATGGCCAGTTTGTTGAAAAAAAAAAAAAAATCTTCTGTTCTTACTTGGTGAAGGATTATAAGTCAAAAGTTTTTCTGCTGTGTTTATTTTATTTTGTGTTTATTTTGCTCAGGTTAACAGGCCTTTGAATTCCTGGGGTGTAATATAATGGATTTTCTCTATGTGATTTCACTCTGTGCGCCGTCAGCCAGGAACACAGCTATCATAAGCAGCAACGAACACCTGTATTCAGGTGTCATTTTTACCTGTGTTTAATTTTTTCTGTTGAAGTGGTTTTTCACTCTTCGTTGACTAGTATTTGTGAAACATGAATCTTAACACCTGTTGTAATGGTCTTTGTTTTATACTACTACTCAGTAGTTCAGCTTGATTGAGAACTTCTAATATCTGCATTATGAGGTCATTATATTTAAAGATTGTTTTACTTGTACTGTATATTATGTGATCATGTCAGGTATTGCAGTCAAGTACATATGCTGTCAAACTCCGTTGTAAGTAGTACAGTGGAGTTTTGCTGCATCTGTACCTATGAATTTTTTATTCCTTTGTAGTTTGAGAAGTAAATTAGTAACATTTGTTATTATTTTTTATTAACACATTGGCTGTCTCACACCAAGGTAGGGTAGCCCAAAAAAGAAAAACTTTCACCATCATTCACTCCATCATTGTCTTGCCAGAAGCATGCTTACACTACAGTTATATACTGTAACTGCAACATTAACACCCTTCCTTCAGAGTGCAGGCACTGTACTTCCTATCTCCAGGACATTTGTTAATCATTAAGAAATCAAATTTCTTTCAGTTTCTGTGATGCATTGCTCATAATCTTGCCATTTCAGTATTTTGGAAACATTGACAGAGCAACAAGAGGGGCTGTCAGAATCTAGACAAACTGTAATGCTGTCAGCCACATTGTCTGCTGGAGTAGAAAAACTAGCTGGTGAGTAAAAGATCACACTTCTAATTACACTAGCCAGCAAAATTTAACTTGATATGTAGTTCAGAAAGCAAATTAGTTGTTTTAATCTGTCTTTGATACACTGATCACCAGGTAGTAGGTTGGTAGACAGCAACCACCCAGGGAAGTACTACCGTCCTGCCAGATGACTGTGAAACAAAAACCTGTAACTGTTTTGCATGATGGTAGGATTGCTGGTTTCTTTTTCTGTCTCATAAACACGCTAAGATAACAGGGATATCTTGCTACTCCTACTTACACTTTGGTCACACTTCATAGACACGCACATGCATATATATATATATACATACATCTAGGTTTTTCTCCTTTTTCTAAATAGCTCTTGTTCTTTTTATTTCTTCTATTGTCCATGGGGAAGTGGAAAAGAATCTTTCCTCCGTAAGCCATGCGTGTCGTATGAGGCGACTAAAATGCCGGGAGCAATGGGCTAGTAACCCCTTCTCCTGTATCAATTACTAAAAAAGAGAAGAAGAAAAACTTTATAAAACTGGGTTGCTTAAATGTGCGTGGATGTAGTGCGGATGACAAGAAACAGATGATTGCTGATGTTATGAATGAAAAGAAGTTGGATGTCCTGGCCCTAAGCGAAACAAAGCTGAAGGGGGGTAGGAGAGTTTCAGTGGGGGGAAATAAATGGGATTAAATCTGGAGTATCTGAGAGCGTTAGAGCAAAGGAAGGGGTAGCAGTAATGTTAAATGATCAGTTATGGAAGGAGAAAAGAGAATATGAATGTGTAAATTCAAGAATTATGTGGATTAAAGTAAAGGTTGGATGCGAGAAGTGGGTCATAATAAGCGTGTATGCACCTGGAGAAGAGAGGAATGCAGAGGAGAGAGAGAGAGATTTTGGGAGATGTTAAGTGAATGTATAGGAGCCTTTGAACCAAGTGAGAGAGTAATTGTGGTAGGGGACTTGAATGCTAAAGTAGGAGAAACTTTAGAGAGGGTGTGGTAGGTAAGTTTGGGGGTGCCAGGTGTAAATGATAATGGGAGCCTTTGATTGAACTTTGTATAGAAAGGGGTTTAGTTATAGGTAATACATATTTTAAGAAAAAGAGGATAAATAAGTATACACGTATGATGTAGGGCGAAATGACAGTAGTTTGTTGGATTATGTATTGGTAGATAAAAGACTGTTGAGTAGACTTCAGGATGTACATGTTTATAGAGGGGCCACAGATATTCAGATCACTTTCTAGTTGTAGCTACACTGAGAGTAAAAGGTAGATGGATACAAGGAGAATAGAAGCATCAGGGAAGAGAGAGGTAAAGGTTTATAAACTAAAAGAGGAGGCAGTTAGGGTAAGATATAAACAGCTATTGGAGGATAGATGGGCTAATGAGAGCATAGGCAATGGGGTCGAAGAGGTATGGGGTAGGTTTAAAAATGTAGTGTTAGAGTGTTCAGCAGAAGTTTGTGGTTACAGGAAAGTGGGTGCAGGAGGGAAGAGGAGCGATTGGTGGAATGATGATGTAAAGAGAGTAGTAAGGGAGAAAAAGTTAGCATATGAGAAGTTTTTACAAAGTAGAAGTGATGCAAGGAGGGAAGAGTATATGGAGAAAAAGAGAGAAGTTTAAGAGAGTGGTGAAGCAATGTAAAAAGAGAGCAAATGAGAGAGTGGGTGAGATGTTATCAACAAATTTTGTTGAAAATAAGAAAGGTTTTGGAGTGAGATTAACAAGTTAAGAAAGCTAGAGAACAAATGGATTTGTCAGTTAAAAATAGGAGAGGAGAGTTATTAAATGGAGAGTTAGAGGTATTGGGAAGATGGAAGGAATATTTTGAGGAATTGTTAAATGTTGATGAAGATAGGGAAGCTGTGATTTCGTGTATAGGGCAAGGAGGAATAACATCTTGTAGGAGTGAGGAAGAGTCAGTTGTGAGTGTGGGGGAAGTTCGTGAGGCAGTAGGTAAAATGAAAGGGGGTAAGGCAGCCGGGATTGATGGGATAAAGATAGAAATGTTAAAAGCAGGTGGGGATATAGTTTTGGAGTGGTTGGTGCAATTATTTAATAAATGTATGGAAGAGGGTAAGGTACCTAGGGATTGGCAGAGAGCATGCATAGTTCCTTTGTATAAAGGCAAAGGGGATAAAGAGAGTGCAAAAATTATAGGGGGATAAGTCTGTTGAGTGTACCTGGTAAAGTGTATGGTAGAGTTATAATTGAAAGAATTAAGAGTAAGACGGAGAATAGGATAGCAGATGAACAAGGAGGCTTTAGGAAAGGTAGGGGGTGTGTGGACCAGGTGTTTACAGTGAAACATATAAGTGAACAGTATTTAGATAAGGCTAAAGAGGTCTTTGTGGCATTTATGGATTTGGAAAAGGCGTATGACAGGGTGGATAGGGGGGCAATGTGGCAGATGTTGCAAGTGTATGGTGTAGGAGGTAGGTTACTGAAAGCAGTGAAGAGTTTTTACGAGGATAGTGAGGCTCAAGTTAGAGTATGTAGGAAAGAGGGGAATTTTTTCCCAGTAAAAGTAGGCCTTAGACAAGGATGTGTGATGTCACCGTGGTTGTTTAATATATTTATAGATGGGGTTGTAAGAGAAGTAAATGCGAGGGTCTTGGCAAGAGGCGTGGAGTTAAAAGATAAAGAATCACACACAAAGTGGGAGTTGTCACAGCTGCTCTTTGCTGATGACACTGTGCTCTTGGGAGATTCTGAAGAGAAGTTGCAGAGATTGGTGGATGAATTTGGTTAGGGTGTGCAAAAGAAGAAAATTAAAGGTGAATACAGGAAAGAGTAAGGTTATGAGGATAACAAAAAGATTAGGTGATGAAAGATTGAATATCAGATTGGAGGGAGAGAGTATGGAGGAGGTGAACGTATTCAGATATTTGGGAGTGGACGTGTCAGCGGATGGGTCTATGAAAGATGAGGTGAATCATAGAATTGATGAGGGAAAAAGAGTGAGTGGTGCACTTAGGAGTCTGTGGAGACAAAGAACTTTGTCCTTGGAGGCAAAGAGGGGAATGTATGAGAGTATAGTTTTACCAACGCTCTTATATGGGTGTGAAGCGTGGGTGATGAATGTTGCAGCGAGGAGAAGGCTGGAGGCAGTGGAGATGTCATGTCTGAGGGCAATGTGTGGTGTGAATATAATGCAGAGAATTCGTAGTTTGGAAGTTAGGAGGAGGTGCGGGATTACCAAAACTGTTGTCCAGAGGGCTGAGGAAGGGTTGTTGAGGTGGTTCGGACATGTAGAGAGAATGGAGCGAAACAGAATGACTTCAAGAGTGTATCAGTCTGTAGTGGAAGGAAGGCGGGGTAGGGGTCGGCCTAGGAAGGGTTGGAGGGAGGGGGTAAAGGAGGTTTTGTGTGCGAGGGGCTTGGACTTCCAGCAGGCATGCGTGAGCGTGTTTGATAGGAGTGAATGGAGACAAATGGTTTTTAATACTTGACGTGCTGTTGGAGTGTGAGCAAAGTAACATTTATGAAGGGATTCAGGGAAACCGGCAGGCCGGACTTGAGTCCTGGAGATGGGAAGTACAGTGCCTGCACTCTGAAGGAGGGGTGTTAATGTTGCAGTTTAAAAACTGTAGTGTAAAGCACCCTTCTGGCAAGACAGTGATGGAGTGAATGATGGTGAAAGTTTTTCTTTTTCGGGCCACCCTGCCTTGGTGGGAATCGGCCGGTGTGATAATAAAAAAAAAAAATAAAATAAAAATCACCAATCTGAGCTTGTTTAATCTCTCTCATGTAAGATTTTTCTTTTTGGGCAGGACCAGTATTTTGGCTATTTAAGGTTAAAGAAACACATGAAATTTATTACTTAATAAATTTTTTTTTTTTTTTTTTAACAAGTCGGTCGTCTCCCACCGAGGCAGGGTGACCCAAGAAGAAAGAAAATCCCCAAAAAGAAAATACTTTCATCATCATTCAACATTTTCACCTCACTCACACATAATCACTGTTTTTGCAGAGGTGCTCGGAATGCAACAGTTTAGAAGTTTTTTTTTTTTTTTTTTAACAAGTCGGCCATCTCCCACCGAGGCAGGGTGACCCAAAAAAGAAAGAAAATCCCCAAAAAGAAAATACTTTCATCATCATTCAACACTTTCACTACACTCGCACATTATCACTGTTTTTGCAGAGGTGCTCAGAATACAACAGTTTAGAAGCATACACATATAAAGATACACAACATATCCCTCCAAACTGCCAATATCCCAAACTCCTCCTTTAAAGTGCAGGCATTGTACTTCCCATTTCCAGGACTCAAGTCCGACTATATGAAAATAACCGGTTTCCCTGAATCCCTTCACTAAATATTACCCTGCTCACACTCCAACAGATCGTCAGGTCCCAAATACCATTCGTCTCGATTCACTCCTATTGAACATGCTCATGCACGTCTGCTGGAAGTCCAAGACCCTCACCCACAAAACCTCCCTTACCCCTTCCAACCTTTTCGAGGATGACCCCTACCCCGCCTTTCTTCCCCTACAGATTTATATGCTCTCCACGTCATTCTACTTTGATCCATTCTCTCTAAATGACCAAACCACCTCAACAACCTCTCTTCAGCTCTCTGACTAATACTTTTATTAACTCCACACCTACTCCTAATTTCCACACTCCGAATTTTCTGCATAATATTTACACCACACATTGCCCTTAGACAGGACATCTCCACTGCCTCTAGCCGCCTCCTTGCTGCTGCATTCACAACCCAAGCTTCACACCCATATGAGAGTGTTGGTACTACTATAGTTTCATACATTCCTTTCTTTGCCTCCATAGATAAAGATTTTTTGTCTCCACATATACCTCAATGCACCACTAACCTTTTTTCCCTCATCAATTCTATGATTAACCTCATCGTTCATAAATCCATCCACCAACACGACAACTCCCAAGTATCTGAAAACATTCACTTCTTCCATACTCCTCCCCAATGTGATATCCAATTTTTCTTTATCTAAATCATTTGATACCCTCATCACCTTACTCTTTTCTATGTTCACTTTCAACTTTCTACCTTTACACACATTCCCAAACTCATCCACTAACCTTTGCAATTTTTCTTTAGAATCTCCCATAAGCACAGTATCATCAGCAAAAAGCAACTGTGTCAATTCCCATTTTGTATTTGATTCTCCATAATTTAATCCCACCCCTCTCCCGAACACCCCTAGCATTTACTTCTTTTACAACCCCATCTATAAAAATATTAAACAAACATGGTGACATTACACATCCCTGTCTAAGACCTACTTTTACTGGGAAGTAGTCTCCCTCTCTTCTACACACCCTAACCTGAGCATATCCTCATAAAAATTCTTAACAGCATTTAGTAACTTACTATCTATTCCATATATTTGCAACATCTGCCACTTTGTTCCCCTATCCACTCTATCATATGCCTTTTCTAAATCCATAAATGCAATAAAAACTTCCCTTCCTTTATCTAAATACTGTTCACATACATGCTTCAATGTAAACACTTGATCTACACATCCTCTACCCACTCTGAAACCTCCTTGCTCATCTGCAATCCTACATTCTGTCTTACCTCTAATTCTTTCAATTATAACCCTACCGTACACATAGCTATTAAATGCGGTGCATGCAATGAAAAACTAACCTTTCTTAACATAATGTACAAAGTCTTAGTAACATGTTTGCTTGTAAATTACAGAATGGGTAGAGCTCCACTCATTCTGTGATTTCTCATTTGTCTGTGGAGACAGGACAGTATCCACAGAGGCAAAAACAGTACCGTCACTGTTGTATAGGTGTGAAGCCTTGGTTTTGAATGTTGCAGTGTTGTTGGAGGCAATAGACGTCATGTTTGTGCGCAATATGTGGTGTATATATTTTGCAGAGAACTCAGAGCTTGTAGATTGGAAGGTGTTGGAGTCACCAAAAGTATTATTCAGAGGACTGAAGAGGGGTTGGTGAGGTGTTTTGGATATTTAGAGAGGATGGAAAAAATAGGATGACTAAGAGGGCATATAATTATATCTTGGGTGGAGGGAGGGATGGGTAGGGGGTCATCCTCAGAAAAGTTGGAGAGAGGGAGGTAAAGAAAGTTTTGAGTGCTAGGGGCTTGGACATGCAGCAGCATTGTGAGAGCATGTTAGATAGGAGTGAGTAGAAGCAAGTGATTTTTATGATTTGGCATTCCATTGGAGTATGAGCAAGGAAACATTTATGATGGGATTCAGGGTAAACCTGGCTAGCCAGACTCAAATCTTAAACGTGAGCAGTACAATGCCTGCACTCTGCAGGAGGGGTGGGGATGTTCCTGCTTGGAGGGTCATCTGAATTGTGGTGTCTGGAAAGGCAGTAATTGAATTTTTTTTTGCTTGTGTTCAGTATCATTCTCTCACAGCAGTGTCCAGTAGTAGTCAGCCGTCAAACTGATCATCAGGCTTCCTTGAAATCTCCTCTCCATGATTGCTATATTTTGGTGAAATCATTCACTGGTGCTGTGTTTCACAGAAACTATGTGCTGGATCAAAACTTAAAGTTCATATTTGAAATCAGTGTTCCAGAATTAGAAGTACATATTTTTTTATGTGCACTGAAAAAATTGTTAGCCAGTGTTTCTGTCATTGGCATATGTTGCAGTACAAAATGAAGGCATGTAGTTAATTATTTTAGCACACTGGCTGTCTCCCACCAAGGTAGGGTGAGCCAAAAAAGAAGAAACACTTTCACCATCATTCACACTATTACTGTCTTGCCAGAGGCATGCTGATATTATAGTTCAGATGCCCCTCCAAACTGTAAATATCCTCACCTCTCCTTTAGAGTGCAGGCACTGTACTTCCCACCTCCAGGATCAAAGTCAAGCTAACAGGTTTCCCTGAATCCCTTCATATACTACGTTAACTTGCTTACACACCAACAGTTCGTCAAGTCCCAAAAACCATTCATCTCCACTCTTATCTAACATGCTCACACATGCCTGCTGTATGTCATTAAATGCAAGTGTGGTGTTGTCTCCTTAAAATTAGTCATAGGATTTTTTGGAGCATATTAGGAGGGCATTTATTTATTTTTGTCCTGTCATTGTGTTGGTTTTTATATATAACCATTCAGTACATGTGTGGTGCATTTTTTGTCTATAATACCTTATTACAATAATAGGCTTTTCATCAGTGAAAAGCTGTAATGCATAATTTTAACTACTGATATTTCAGCTTTAGGGATCCATTGCATGGAACTGCTGCAATGTAATGCTTAGTTTCGGACGCTCCAGCACACACGACTATGCAATATGGATTTTCTAGTAAACTGGCCTTAGCATTCTTTTTAATTATTTAATAATGCAAATATATGCATTAAGTTTTGCATGTGTTTCAGAATTAATGTCATTTTTTCTTAAAGTTTTTAATAATAATGATACAGAATGCAAGTATTCCTGTTACTTAGGTATGAGCTTGTTGTCACCGGAAGTGATTGACATAAGCCACGATGGAGAGGAGAAGAGTAAACAGCTCACCTCTGAGGCTCTGGCAACTCCTGCCAATCTTTCCCATCATTATGTCATGATTCCAGCCAAGCTTAGGCTTGTCACATTAGCAGCATTTATCCTCTCAAAGTGTAAGGTTAGTACATATTATATTTACAGCACTTGTTTAAATTCTGTAAACACCTGCAAATACTATAAATTGTATTTTTTGTTAGTTTTGTATTCCAAAGGAATGCTACCTTAACCCTTTGACTGTCGCAACCCCCAATCCTGAGGTGTCTCCTGGTGTCGCAAAATTTAAAAAAAAAATATTTTTTTTCTTATGAAATGATAGAGAATCTTTTCCAGATTGTAATGACACCAAAAAAACGAAATTTGATGGAAAACTGACGGAATTATGCTCTCACGAAGTTAGCGACCTCGGCGCTGTTTACAAATCGGCGATTTTGCGCACTTTGAGCCCTATTTTCGGCTAATTCCATTGTTCCAGTCGCTCAAACTCATAGCTATTTATTTAGAACTCCATTTTTTCTATCGATTGAGTACAAGAAACTGCCCATTTACCGATTTCAACTACCTAATAATGTGGCCCAGAAATTTGCAATTTGGCCAATTTCACGAAAACTAAAAAATATGACAATTTCAAAATAAGGTCCAGAATGAACAATGCAGACATTCCTGGCTCTAAAATAACATTTACTTTGCTCATCAGTCATGTCTCCAGGCCCCTCTGATATTACTCTTGCTCTCTATTTTGAATTTTTATTCAAACAAAAAATAGAAGACTTACTATTATGCAGACTACTGCAATACTGTAATTTTTTTTTTTTTTTTTTTCTTCAACAAGTCGGCCATCTCCCACCGAGGCAGGGTGACCCAAAAAAGAAAGAAAATCCCCGAAAAGAAAATACTTTCATCATCATTCAACACTTTCACCACACTCGCACATTATCACTGTTTTTGCAGAGGTGCTCAGAATACAACAGTTTAGAAGCATACACATATAAAGATACACAACATATCCCTCCAAACTGCCAATATCCCAAACCCCTCCTTTAAAGTGCAGGCATTGTACTTCCCATTTCCAGGACTCAAGTCCGACTATATGAAAATAACCGGTTTCCCTGAATCCCGTCACTAAATATTACCTGCAACCACTCCAACAGATCGTCAGGTCCCAAGTACCATTCGCCCTCCATTCACTCCTATTAACATGCTACGCACGCTTGCTGGAAGTCCAAGTCCCTTGCCCACAACACCTCCTTTACCCCCTCTCTCCAAACCCTTTCGAGGACGACCCCTACCCCTCCTTCCTTCCCCTATAGATTATATGCTTTCCATGTCATTCTACTTTGATCCATTCTCTCTAAATGACCAAACCACCTCAACAACCCCTCTTCTGCCCTCTGACTAATACTTTTATTAACTCCACACCTTTTCCTAATTTCCACACTCCGAATTTTCTGCATCATATTTACACCACACATTGCCCTTAAACAGGACATCTCCACTGCCTCCAACCGTCTCCTCGCTGCTGCATTTACCACCCAAGCTTCACACCCATATAAGAGCGTTGGTACTACTATACAGTGGACCCCCGGTTAACGATATTTTTTCACTCCAGAAGTATGTTCAGGTGCCAGTACTGACCGAATTTGTTCCCATAAGAAATATTGTGAAGTAGATTAGTCCATTTCAGACCCCCAAACATACACGTACAAAAGCACTTACAAAAATACACTTACATAATTGGTCGCATTCGGAGGTAATCATTATGCGGGGGTCCACTGTACTTTCATACATTCCCTTCTTTGCCTCCAGAGATAACGTTTTTTGACTCCACATATACCTCAACGCACCACTCACCTTTTTTCCCTCATCAATTCTATGATTAACCTCATCCTTCATAAATCCATCCGCCGACACGTCAACTCCCAACTATCTGAAAACATTCACTTCTTCCATACTACTCCTCCCCAATTTGATATCCAATTTTTCTTTATCTAAATCATTTGACACCCTCATCACCTTATTCATTTCTATGTTCACTTTTTAACTTTCTACCTTTTCACACATTCCCCAAAATCATCCACTAACCTTTGCAATTTTTCTTTAGAATCTCCCATAAGCCACAGTACATCAGCAAAAGTAACTGTGTCAATTCCCATTTTTAATTTGATTCCCCAAAATTTAATCCCGCCCCTCTCCCGAACACCCTGCATTTACTTCCTTTACAACCCCATCTATAAAAAATATTAAAAAAACCATGGTGACATTACACATCCCTGTCTAAGACCTCTTTTACCGGGAAGTTTTCTCCCTCTCTTCTACACACCCTAACCTGAGCCTCACTATCCTCAAAAACTCTTTACAGCATTTAATAACTTACCACCTATTCCATATACTGTACTTGCAAAAATCTGCCACATTGCTCCTCTATCCCCTCTATCATATGCTTTTCTAAATCCATAAATGCAATAAAAAACTTCCCTACTTTTTTCTAAAAAACTGTTCACATATATGCTTCAATGTAAACACTTTATCTACCCCATCCCTACCCACTCTGAAACCTCCTTGTTATCCGCAATCCTACATTCTGTCTTACCTCTAATTCTTTCAAATTTTAACCCTACCGTACACTTTTCCTGGTATACTCAGTAAACTTATTCCTCTATAATTTTTTCAGTCTCTTTGTCCCCTTTCCCTTTATATAAAGGGACTATACAAAGCTCTTTCCCCCAAACCCTAGGTACCTTTCCCCTCTTTCATACATTTATTAAACAAAAGTACCAACCACTCCAACACTATATCCTCCCCTGCTTTTAACATTTAGTCATGATCCATCAGTTTCCCGCTGCTTTACCCCCCTTTTATTTTACGTAATGCCTCACGTACCTCCCCCACACTTACATTCTGCTCTTCTTCACTCCTAAAAGATGGTATACCCCCCTGACCAGTGCATGAAATTACTGCCTCTGTTTCTTCCTTAACATTTAAAAGTTCCTCAAAAAATATTCTCGCCATCTACCTAATACCTCATCTCCCCCTCTACTAACTCCCCCACTCTGTTTTTAACTGACAAATCCATACTTTCCCTAGGTTTCTTAACTTGTTTAACTCACTCCAAAATTTTTTTTATTTTCATTAAAATTTTTGACAGTGCCTTCCCATCTTCATCTGCTCTCCTTTTGCACTCTCTCACCACTCTCTTACATTCTTTTACTCTCCATATACTCGGGTCTTCTTAAACACTTCTGCTTTGTAAAAACCTCTCATAAGCTACCTTTTTCTCTTTTTATCACACCCTTTATTCATCATTCCACCAATCATCCTCTTTCCTCCTGCCCCCACCCTCCTATAACACAAATTTGCCCCATTCTAATACTGCATTTTTAAAACTATTCCAACCTCTTCAACCCCCCCACTACTCATCTTTGCCTAGCACTTTCTGCCAATAGTCGCTTATATCTCACCGAACCTCCTCCCTTAGTTTATCACCTTTCACCCCCCTCTTTACTTGTTGTTGCCACTTCCCTTTTTCCCATCTACTCTTCTTAACTGTAGCTACAACTAAATAATGACCCATTTATCAGTGCCCCTCTTAAACATGTACTCCTGGAGCCTACCCATGAACCTTTTATCCACCAATACATTATCTAATAACTGCTTTCATTACGTGCTACATCCATTTTTTTTTTTTTTTTTTTTTTCAACAAGTCGGCTTTTCCCCCCGAGGGGGGGACCCAAAAAAAAGAAAAAAAAATCCCCAAAAAAAAAAATACTTTCACATCATTCAACACTTTCACCACCCACACTTACATGCTTTTGCGAGGTGCTCAGAATATAACAGTTTAGAAGCATAACGTATAGGAACCAACATATCCCCCCAAACTGCCAATATCCCCAAAACCCCCCCTTTAAAGTGCAGGGATTGTACTTCCCCTTTTTCCCGGACTCAAGTCCCAATATATAAAAAAAACCCGGGTTTCCCCGAATCCCCTTCAAAAATATTACCCTGCTCACACCCAACAGACGTCAGGTCCCAAGTATATTTGTCTCCATTCACTCCTATCTAACACGCTCATCACGTTTCTGGGAAATCCAAGCCCCCACCCACAAAAACCCCCTTTACCCCCTCTTTCCCCCCTTTCGAGGACGAACCCCTTCCCCCCTTTTCCCCTTCCCCCAAATTTTATTGCTTTCCGTCTTTACTTTATCCATTTTCTCTAAAAGCCAAACCCCTCAACAACCCCTCTTCTGCCCTCTGACAATGCTTTTATTAAATCCACAAAATTCTCCTTAATTTCCACCTCCCAATTTCTGCAAATATTTTCACCACCATTGCCCTTAGACAGGACATCTCCACTGCCTCAACCGTCTCCCCCCCCCGCTGCTGCATTTACCACCCAAACTTCCATCCATTAAGAGTGTTGGGACTACTATCTTTTCATACTTCCCTTCTTTGCCCCCTAGATAACGTTTTTTGACTCCCCATATACCTCAACCCCATCCTTTTTCCCCTCATCAATTCTTGATTAACCTCATCCTTATAAATCATCCGCCGACACGTCAACTCCCAAGTATCTGAAAAAATCACGTCTTCATACTCCCTCCTCCCCAATTTGATATCCAATTTTTCTTTATCTAAACATTTGATACCCTCATCACTTACTCTTGTCTATGGTCACTTTCACTTTCAACCTTTACACACATTCCTCAAACTCATTTCCACTAACTATTCAATTTTTCTTTAAGAAATCCATCCATAAGCACAGTAGCATCAGCAAAAAGTAACGGTGTCAATCCCATTTTGAATTGATTCCCCCATAAATTTAATCCACCATACCTCTCCCGAACAACTAGCATTTACTTCTTTTACAACCCCATCTATATATATATTAAACCAACCATGGTGACATTACACATTCCCTGTCAAAGACCTACTTTTACCGGAAGTATTCTCCCTCTCTTCTACACACCTAACCTGAGCCTCACTATCCTCATAAAAGCTCTTTTACAGCTTTTTAGTATCTTACCACCTCTTCCTATACTTGCCACATCTGCCACATTGCTCCTCTAATCCACTCTATCAATGCCCTTTTCTAAATCCTATAAATGCAATAAAAACTCCCTACC